CCACCATGCCCAGCTAATTTTTTGTATTTTTAGTAGAGACGGGATTTCACCATGTTGACCAGGATGGTCTCGATCTCTTGACTTCGTGATCCACCCGCCTCGGCCTCCCAAAGTGCTGGGATTACAGGCTTGAGCCACCGCGCCCGGCCCTTTCAACTCTTAAAAAACAAAACATTCTCCTGTGTTCAAGTTGGTCTGTTCACTGGGTTCACGCCTGGGAAGAAACACAAAGTACAGGGTCACAGACTTTGGCCCTGCAAGAGAGAGCCCAACTCACTTGGGGACTCACTTGAAAAACTGGTTTTGTGTTGTAAGCATGAAGCAGAAGTGGGGGTGGGAAGGGTGATTGGGACACCAGAGGTCCAAATGCATTTCACAGAATCCAAGAATGTCTGATATTGTCCACTTTTCAGGGTCACCTAAACCCTAACTCCTTAGGTTCTGGTCCCAGCTCTGCCACCTGTCTGTCTGTGAGCTCTCCATTCAATTAATTTTCTCTCTGGGCCTCAGTCTCCCAATATGCAAAATGTGAACTTTCACAAAGTGAACATATCTATGCAACCGGCACCCAGGCCAAGAAAAAGAACAATTTCCAGAACCCTACACAGCCTGTCCACTGCAGTCGCTTACCACCCAAAAGGGTAACTATCTTGACTTCTAATTGAATATTTTTACTTGTTTTTGAACTGTATGTAAACAGAATAATAGAGCCTGCACTTTTATGCCTTGCATCTTTTGCCAAAATTGTATTTGATACATCTATGTTGCTATGTGTAGTTGTAGTTAATCCATTCTCACACCTGTAATATTCCATTACACTGTTGAAGATCATTTGGGTTATCTCCAATTTTGTTTATTACACTTTTTAAATTTTTCGAGACAGGATCTCACTCTGTTACCCAGGTTGGAATGCAGTGGCACCATCTCAGCTCACTGCAACCTCTGCCTCCTGGGGTCAAGCGATTCTCTGCCTCAGTCTCCCAAGTAGCTGGAATTATAGGTGTGTGCCACCACACCTGGCAAATTTTTTTTGTGTGTTTTTAGTAGACACGGAGTTTCACCATGTTGGCTAGGCTGGTCTCGAACTCCTGACCTTGTGATCCGCCCGCCTCAGCCTCCCAAAGTTCTGGGATTACAGGCATGAACCACCGCGCCCAGCCAGTATTAGGCACTTTTATGGATGTATTGTGGTATCTCATGTGGTTTTAACTTCAATTTCTCCACTAATGAAGATAACATCTCTTCATATATGTATTGGTCAAGTTTTCACTTTTTATTTACATAGCCACACATGAATATATCCTTGTTACATATAATACATGAATAGAAATCATACATATAAAGGTAAAGTCCCTCTAAAACGAATCCCTTCACTAGTTTTATTTTCAATTGAAAAAAAATTTGTAGAAATGGGGTCTTGCTATGTTGCCCAGGCTGGTCTTTAACTCCTGGCCTCAAGCCATCCTGCCACCTTGGCCTCCTACAGTGCTGGGATTACAGGTGTGAGCCACTATCTCCATCCCCTTCCCAAGTTTTGAGCACTGGGCTTGGAGTTAAGAGACCTGAATTCCAGCCTTCGTCTGCCACTGACTAGCTTGCTCTCTAATTTCAGACAAGTCTCTCTGGGTCTGCCTCCTCATCTATAAAATCAGGGTGTTTAACTAGATATCATTATTTTGGCTTTTGTTATATCCACTGAACTGGAATCCTGATTAATACAGAGTGACTGAAGAATACCTTTTTTTTTTTTTTTTTGAGACAGTCTGTCTCTGTTCCCCAGGATGGAGAGTGCAGTGGCACGATCTTGGCTCACTGCAACCTCTGCCTCCCAGGTTCAAGAGATTCTCCTGCCTCAGCCTCCCAACTAGTTTCTAAGGACCTTTTTTCTTTAACATCCTGGCCACTGTTTCTGTGATCCCAAGAACCTCCATTAGGGAGAAATGGCCATTTGCCCCATTATCCATTCACTTCATCTTCCTTAGTGACTGAACTCCTGAATTTTAGTTGAGCATATGGCTGTCCCACTAGACTATCTATCTCCAGCCTCCCTTATAACTGGGCATGACCATGTGACTAATTTGAGACAACAGTGTGTACACAGAAATGTGTGCAACTTTTGGGTCATGACATCATAAAGAAGGGCCATGTTGTCCACTTGCTCTTCTCCTCTTCCTGCTGGCTGAAGAAGAGGACCTGATGATGGGAACTGGCCCAGCCATTGTTTTGTTTTGTTTTTTGAGATAGGGTCTCACTCTGTTGCCCATGCTGGAGTGCAGGGGTGCAACCACAACTCACTGCAACCTTGGCCTCCTGGGCTCCCTCCTGCCTCAGGCTCCTGAGTAGCTGGGACTACAGGAATGCGCCACCACGCCCAGCTAATTTTTGTATTTTTTGTAAAGACAGTTTCCCCATGTTGCCTAGGCTAGTCTCAAACTCCTGGACTAGAGTGATTCACCCGTCTCACACTTAATCCCAACACTTTGGGATTACAGGTGTGAGCCACTGTGCCCAGCACCAGCCATCTTTGTTCATGAGATGGAGGCCAAGATGCGCTGACGATGACAGAACAAGGCAAAAGCTGAGACCGCTCACAACATACTGCTGACATATCAGCCCTGGATTGCTTAGAGAGAAGTACATTTTCATCTCAAGCTATCATTATTTTGGCTTTTGTTATATCCACTGAACCAGAATCCTGATTAATACAGACTGACTAGACTTTTTATGTTTTGTTTTTTGACAGAGTCTGACTCTGTCGCCCAGTGCAGTGGTGTGATCTCAGCTCACTGAAACCTACATCTCCCGGGTTCAAGTGATTCTCCTGCCTCAGCCTCCCAAGTAGCTGGGACTACAGGTGTCTGCCACCACGCCTGGCTAATTTTTTGTAATTTTAGTAGAGATGGGTTTCTACCATGTTGGCCAGGCTGGTCTTAAACTCCTGACCTCAAGTGATCCACCCACTTTGGCCTCCCAAAGTGCTGGGATTACAGGTGTGAGCCACTGTGCCTGGCTCCAAGAATGACTTTAGATTGGATATTGGGTCAGTTTTCTCAGAGAGAGGGACACTTTGAGCTGAGATCTTAACAAGAGAGACACCCATATAGATTTAGGGGAAAAGCATTCCAGGCCAAGGAGACCACTCGTGCAAAAGTTCGGTCCTCAACAGCATTCTGTGTAATGAGGCCTACCTGGTCAGTCATGGCACCCCCATCTCCCATCCCACTGTTTACAGTGACTGAGCCAAGAGTGGACCATGTGACCTGAAGAGGAGATTTGGTATGTAAGTGATGGGACAGAAAGGATCTTCCTCTGGGATTACAAATCTTTTTTTTTTTTTTTTTTTTTAAACAAAGTCACTTTATTTATTTATTTATTTATTTATTTATTTATTTATTTATTGAGACGGAGTTTCACTCATGTTACCCAGGCTGGAGTGCAATGGCGCGATCTCGGCTCACTGCAACCTCTGCCTCCTGGGTTCAGGCAATTCTCCTGCCTCAGCCTCCTGAGTAGCTGGGATTACAGGCACGCACCACCATGCCCAGCTATTTTTTTTTTTTGAGACGGAGTTTCGCTCTTGTTACCCAGGCTGGAGTGCAATGGCGCGTTTTCGGCTCACCGCAACCTCTGCCTCCCGGGTTCAGGCAATTCTCCTGCCTCAGCCTCCTGAGTCGCTGGGATTACAGGCACGCGCCACCATGCCCAGCTAATGTTTTGTATTTTTAATAGAGACGGGGTTTCACCATGCTGACCAGGATGGTCTTGATCTCTTGACCTCGTGATCCACCCGCCTCGGCCTCCCAAAGTGCTGGGATTACAGGCTTGAGCCACCGCGCCCGGCCTACAAATCTTAAAGACTATTTAAGCCTAGAGTTATTGAGGATCGTGTTGCTGGCAAGTGGTGGGCAAAAACCCACCTGAGTGTAAAGCTAACCTGGGACAAACACAGACGAGAGCTAGAAAGTGACAGAGTCCTCCATGAGACCTTCGACCCTGGGTCCAACCACACCTGTCCTTATCACAAGCCAGTTATGAAAACCAATCATGGCCGGGTATGGTGGCTCTTGCCTGTAATTTCAGCATTTTTAGAGGCTAAGGTGATAGATCACGAGGTCAGGAGTTCAAGACCAGCCTGGCCACAATGGTGAAACGCTGTCTCTACTAAAAATACAAAAATTAGCTGGGTGTGGTGGTGGGCACCTGTAATCCCAGCTACTCAGGAGGCTGAGGCAGAGAACTGCTTGAACCTGGGAGGCAGAGGTTGCAGTGAGCCAAGATCATGCCATTGCACTCAGCCTAGGCGACAGAGCAAGACTCTGACTCAAAAACAAAAACAAAAAAGAAAGCCAGTCATGTCCTTCTTTGCTTTCAAACTGGATCTCCATCACCTGCAACCAAGAAGTTGCCTGGTCTCCTTGGTCTCCCCCTATTAGTGGAGGTAACTGCAGATGTCCCCGAACTATGATCATTCAACTCACGATTTTTGACCTTACATTTATAACTTTATTACCATTTTTGTGTTGGTAGTTTTGCCCAATGTAGGCTAATGTAAGTGTTCTTAGCATGTTTAAGGAATGCTAGACTAAGCTATGATGTTTGGTAGGTTAGGTATATTAAATGCATTTTTGACATATGATCATATTTTCAACTTATGGTGGGTTTATCACGATGTAAACCCATCACATAAGTGGAGGGGTATAACATTGTTAGACCTATAAATTTGCTGCTGATTATTGGCAGGTGGTATGGTACAGTGATTAGGGGCAGAGGCCTTAGAGTTGGACTATGGGTTCAAATCCCAGCTTGGCTGTATCCTGTGTGGTTCTAACCCAGTTCTGCCACAAACTTGTTAAGTGGCCTTGAGTGAGTCACATAAGCTCTCTAGATGTGGCTTCCTCATTGCAAAATGTCTCAAGCTAAGTATTCTCCTTCCACCCTGACTCTGCTTCTGTTCCTCCATCCAGCCTTCCCCGTCTCAGTAAATGATGCATTAGCCACCCAGAAGTTCAAGCCAGACTCATCCCTGAGATCTAATCTACCTTCTAAACACATCCACATCCGTTCCACTTTCTCCATCCCCACTGTCACCCCTCCAGTTCATGCCGTCAATACTTTTCATCTGCACTTTGCCATAGAAATGTTAAAATACTTCTACAAACTGCAAATTTGATTGAGTCATTCTGAAAAGGCGAATGTGGCCCTTGACCCCTGCATGGTTTGGTCCTGGTCTGTCTCTCTCATTTCGGGCCATGCTCTCAGTGCTCCAGACAGCCCAGCCTTGCGTTCCTCCAGCTAGGCGCCCGAGGGACTTTGCACAACTCTTCCCTCTCCCTGGAATGCTCTTCCCCAATTACGTCTTAGTTTGATGGCTCACCCTTCAAGTCTAGGCTCAAATGTCAGCCCTTCAGGGAAGTATTTTCTGATCCTTCAAAGCAGGTCAGAGCCTGGTGTCCTCCTTCACAGCACCTGTCACCACATCACTGGTGCATATCTGCCTCCTTCCCAACCACTGTTTCTTTCTTTCTTTCTTTCTTTCTTTTTTTTTGAAATGGAGTCTCACTCTGTTGCCCAGGCTGGAGTGCAATGGCATGATCTCAGCTCAATGCAATTTCCACCTCTCAGGTTCAAGCAATTCTCCTGTCTCAGCCTCCTGAGTAGCTGGGACTATAGGCACCCGCCACCACACCCAGCTAACTTTTGTATTTTCAGTAGAGATGGGGTTTCACCATATTGGCCATGCTGGTCTCAAACTCTTGACCTTGTGATCTGCCCGCCCCCACCTCCCAAAGTGCTGGGATTACAAGCATGAGCCACCGCGCCTGGCCCCAACCACGGTTTCAAGAGAGGCCCCTTCTCTGCTGTTCTCTGTCTCAGACCCCTTCTTTCCTTCAAAGCACTTATCACAATGTGTAACTGCTTTATTTCTTGTTTTCTTCTTAGCTGTCTCCCCTATTCTCTTTGTATAATTTCCCTGAAGAGACAAGTTGAGGTCTGTCCTGCTGTATTCCCAGGACCCAGCCCTGAACCGAGGAGCAGAGCAGAGCCTCAAAAAGTATCTCTTGAATAAAAAGTGTTTCTGGTGGTAGCATCTCCAGCAATCAGGAACTCCCTCTTTGCCTCTAAGTTTTGATCCTCAGGCAATATTTCTGCTGCTAATGAGGCATTCTTCTCTGGGTTTATGGTTCAGGGCAGAACAGGAGACCTCAGGCAGCCTGGCAACCTCTGGCCTGTGTGGGAAATGCCTTCCAGTGGAATCGCAGCACATTTCCACTCTAACCCAGGGATATCGATCTAGGTCTCAGTCCCACACCCTGCTCTGCTGCCAGAAGCTTTCCAAGGCTTCTCAGTCCCCAAGATGCCACTGTCCTCCTCTTCCCCTAATGCTCCAAGACCCTCCCCCAGCCAGGCCCCACCAAGCCTGTGCCCCAACTCCAGGTTGCTTTCAAGCTGAAGCCACACTAGAGGAAAGAGCTGAGAGTGAGCTGAGGTCAGCTCAGGGCTGATCCAGGGGAGGGGCAGGGAAGCTTGGGAAAGCCCATAGGATGCAGCTGCGAGTTGTTAAGAGTTAGCATGCCGGCAAAACCACCAAGGGCTGCTGGGCCCACCAGCATGTAAGCAGGAAGAGGGCACGAGGGCACAGTTCTAAAAGCAGCATTTACTTTGGTTTTCACTTCTCTGCGGCCCTGGGAACTTTTTAAAGTTCTGATTCTCAGGTCTGGCACTCTCCCCATCATTCCTCCTTCAGCCACTGCAGCAGCTGGGGTGTGTAGTAGGTGATGATGATGTCAGCACCTGTGTTGGGAGAGATGCAGAAAGTTGGGGGTGGTGGGGGTGGTGATCAGCTCTGAGCACACCTTCTGTGATGGGAGGGCCAGGTGGGGAAGAGGGCTACCATGAAGAGGCACAGCCTGTGGGCACACCACATTAAGATGGAGCCTGGTAGCTGGGCATGGTGGCTCACGCCCGTAATCCCAGCACTTTGGGAGGCCGAGGCGGGTGGATCACAAGGTCAGGAGTTTGAGATTAGCCTGGCCAATATGGTGAAACCCTGTCTCCACTAAAAATACAAAAAATTAGCCAGGTGTGGTGGTGGGTGCCTGTAATCCCAGCTACTCAGGAGGCTGAGGCAGGAGAATCACTTGAACTCAGGAGGCTGAGGTGGCAGTGAGCTGAGATCGTGCCACTGCATTCCAGCCTGGGTGACAGAGCAAGACTCCGTCTCAAAAAAAAGAAAGATGTAAAAGAAAGATGAAGCCTGGCTTTGGGTAGCTCTACTTCTTGGGCAAGTCATTTTTAATTTTGGAACCTCAGTTTGCTAAAGTATAAAAGGCACCGTGAAGGAAATAGGTTAGATGCAAGTTCTCTTCCCATGCTGGTGTGCAATCTAACAAAACAAGCCCCCTTTATGGAGTGGTATTACCTCATTGAATGCTCAGGACAACCGTGCACCAGGTATCTTATCCCCGGTTATCCAGTTATGGATGAGGACACTGAGGTTCGGAGAAGTGGCTCGCCCACGTTCTCACAAACAAAAATTAACGGAGGGCTCTGCTTTCTTCACCGTGCCGTGTTGTATGCTGCAGCTCCATATCTCTTCCTCAATTTGTGTCTGTTTCGATCACTAGCAATTCCCACCATGAGACTCCAAACTCTCAGGACTTCATTCCCCGGTCTAGGCAGAGTGCTTACAGTCCCTGAGGCGCAGGTCGAAACACCCCGCCCCTGCCTGCTTACCTGCTCTGCGGAAGGCAGTCATGGCCTCCAGTACAGCGGCCTTGAGATCAAATGCCCCAGCCTGGGCTCCGTGCCACAGCATGGCAAACTCTCCAGAAACGTGGTACACGGCGAGAGGGAGGTGGGGGTGCTGCAGAGAAGCAGACAGGCAGACAGGCTGAAATGGAGGGTGGGTGTGGCTCCGGGAGTGTCCCTTCCCCCTGCTCAGTCTGTGACCATCTGAGCCCCGTGCCCTGGGTTACTGCGGCTGGCAGCCTGGCCCACTCTTGAACAGTTAGAGCAGGGCTGTCTGAGTCTCCTACCAGCCCTGGCACACAAGGCCATGGTGGTTCCTGGGCAGGGTTGGGGGAGTCCTGCTCAAGGGCAGACTGCTTCCAACTCTGAGATTCCAGAGTCTGTGGAAAACTCTGTCCCGTCCCCCTGATCCCCCTTTACCTCGGGCCTGTGCTCACCTTGTCCTTTACCTCCCGCACGATGTCCAGGTAGGGCATTCCTGGCTTCACCATGAGCATGTCAGCTCCTTCCCGTACATCCCGGTCCTAAGGGATGAGGGTATAGTATGGGCGGTGCCTGGGAGGGGGCTGAGGGTGGCACTCAAGCCCTAGTTACTCACCACAGCTCGGAGGGCCAGGCCTCGTGCTCCAGGGGGCAGCTGGTAGCAGCGGCGGTCCCCAAAAGCTGGGCTTGACTGAGCCGCATCCCTGCAAAGCAGAGTCATCAAGGTGGGCTCCAGCTTTGGGCCATCGGGCCAGGGATTTAACAGCAGGCCTCTGCCCACCCCTGCTCACCGGAAAGGGCCATAGAAACAGGAAGCAAACTTGGCACTGTAGCTCATCACTGATACCTATGGGGAGATAATGGGGGTCTTGGCTCAGTCGGTCCTTGCCAGGAGTCCCAGGGTGATGTGGCAGGGAGAGAAAGGCCCTAGGCTGGGAAGGAGGGTGTCTGTCTGGTCCTGTTGGAGCACTGGGATTGATTTCCCCGTCAAGAGACCCAGAGGCTGACACGTTCCTCAAAGCCTCATTCAGCACTGTCTTCAGCTCTGTGATCCTTTTTTTCTTTCAAGACAGAGTCTTGCTCTGTCACCTAGGATGAACTGTAGTGGCGTGATCTCAGCTCACTGCAACCTCCACCTCCTGGGTTCAAGCGATTCTCCTGCCTCAGCCTCCCGAGTAGCTGGGATTACAGGCGCCTGCCACCACGCCCAGCTAATTTTTGTGTGTGTGTGTGTTTTTTTTTTTTTTTCAGACGGAGTTTCGCTCTTGTTACCCAGGCTGGAGTGCAATGGCGCGATCTTGGCTCACAGCAACCTCCGCCTCCTGGGTTCAGGCAATTCTCCTCCCTCAGCCTCCTGAGTAGCTGGGATTACAGGCACGCGCCACCATGCCCAGCTAATTTTTTGTATTTTTAGTAGAGACGGGGTTTCACCATGTTGACCAGGATGGTCTCAATCTCTTGACCTCATGATCCACCCGCCTCGGCCTCCCAAAGTGCTGGGATTACAGGCTTGAGCCACCGCGCCCGGCCAATTTTTGTGTTTTTAGTAGAGATGGCATTTCACCATGTTGGCCAGGCTGGTCTTGAACTCCTGACCTCTAGTGATCCACCTGCTCTAGCCTCCCAAAGTGCTGGGATTACAGGTGCAAGCCACCACGCCCAGCAGTTCTGTCATTCTTAGCACACATGGGGGCTGGGCTGGTGCAGACTCTCTCCTCCCGGCCCCACGCTGCTCCCTGCACTCCTGTCCTTACCCTGTTGCCGAATCCATGTGCCAGTAGGGCCTCCTTGATGGCTTCCACTCGTCCATCCATCATGTCCGACGGGGCTACCACCTGACATCCTGCAGGGCAGAGGGGGGCCTTCAGAACTCTGGGACCCTCCCAGCCACTCTGCCACCTCCCTGACCCAGAGGTGCCCATTCCTGCTGGTGGTTCACTCACCTGCCTTGGCATATGACAGTGCCACCTCAGCCAGCCGCTGGCGGCTCTCCTCGGCCCGGAATGCTCCATTTTCACTCAGGAGCCCTGCAGGACAGATGGCTGGGTTTTGGGGAGCACCTTGGACCCTGGCCTGTCCCCACCCTGGTGAGAAGTGGGCAGTGGGAATGTGGGTGGCAGCGGGCTGGTTGGGAGGAAGGGAGCTCACCACAGTGACCATGGGAGGTATAGGGACACAGGCAGACGTCACAGGCCACCAGGAGGTTGGGGAAGGTCTTCCTCAAAAGACGGATCGCCTCGATAGCTGGGGACTCCTCGGAGTCAGCTGCGGAACCCCGCTCGTCCTAGGGGCAGGGGAGGGACAAACAGTGTGTCTGTTACATGTAGCTTCAGAAGGCAGGACAGCAGCCATCACAGAGCACAGCCCTGACCCTCTCCTTCCTTTATTGTCACAGCCCCTGGGTAAGAAAGCTCATGTCCCTTCACCTGTGGCCCCAGGGCCAGCACCAGGTTGGAGTGAGGATGCAGTCAGTGTGGACCCTCAGCCCACCCTCACCCAACCTCCCTTCCTTTTTCTGGTATGTATGTATGTATGTATGTATGTATGTATTTGGAGACAGGGTCTTGCCCAGGTTGGAGTGCACTGGCACGATCTTGGCTCACTACAGCCTCAACTTTCTGAGCTCAAGTGATCCTCCCACCTCTCCACCTCCCGAGTAGCTGGGACTACAGGTGTGTACCACCACACCCGGCTAACTTTTGTATTTTTTTGTAGAGATGGGGTTTTGCCATGTTGCCCAGGCTGGTCTCAAAATTCTGGGCTCAAGTGATCCACCCGCCTTGGCCTCCCAAAGTGCTGGAAATATGGGCGTGAGCACAATCTTCCTTCTTAACCCCTCCTTCGATTCTTCACCTTGGGAACTCTGCTGGGGACACCGAAGATCAGGACACAGCGTAGGCCCTCTTCCACCAAGGGCCTCATCATCTCTTCCAGCCGGTTCACACCATACCTGCGTGGGCACGGGTAGAGGGGCTGAAGGAAGGCAGGTCCCAGGCAGAGGTCCTCTGGACCCCCCACACTGTGCCTCTGTTTGGAGCCAAGCTACATATGGCACCAGGAGGGTGAGCCTCCAGGAGAGGAAGGGGCAGGGATGCACCCACTAAATAGGAGGGAAGACTGAGGCCCTGAGTAGCAGAGCTCTGCAATTCCGCAGTGGCAGGTTCCTCCGAGGCCCTCTTATTAAACTCCCATCTGCAGTTCAGCTCCCTTCTGCAACAGCCTCTGCCGCGACACCTCTGGTGATGGGTAGCTCATGACTTTATGGGGCTGCCTCTTCCACTGCGGAACAGCTCTGGCCCTGAGAAAACCCTTCCCTCTACTGAGCTGATGTCTGCCTGTTCGCATCTTCAACCTCCTGGGTCCGCTTCTGCCTCCCGGCACTTCCACCTGTGGAATCTCTCCCTCCACCACCCTCTTGCCCCCACCTCCACATCTCCTACCTGGCCACTCCTGGGAGGCTGGCAATAGGCTGTACGTCATCAGGAACATCCCTGCAAGAGTGGGGGGTGGGATATGGATTGGTGGCTGTGGGAAGGGCCAGTGGTGAGGGGATGCCTGAGAGGGATGGTTGGGAAGCAGGGAAGAAATATGGGTGTGGAGATGGTGGGAGGAGGGTGAGATCCAGTGTCTGGCTTCCCTGCCTGGCCAAGCCCAGGGCCTGAAATAATAATAGGAACAACAAGAGTAACAGTGACAACAGTAGCAGCTGGACTAAAAGAACAGCAGTTACAGGAAGGAATTAGTGGTTAACAACTTGGACTCTGAAGTCAGCAGGTCCTTGCTTCCTATCCCAGTCTACTGCCTGGGTGACTGTGGCCAAGTTCTATCATCTCTTTGAGTCTCAGGCCTTCACCTGTATGATGGGTGAATTCATTCACTCAACAAATATTTATTGAGTAATTCTATGTGCCAAGTACTGTTCTAGGCCCTGATGATACAACAGTGAACAAAATAGACAAACATCCCTACCGGCATGGAGCTGATGTCCTGGAGGATATCTACTGCTTCTTCATACAAATGCTCTCAGAATTGAATGACAAAATGTGTGTAGGTGCTTAGAATAGTACCTGGTACACAGCAAGGACTCAGTAAATGTCTGCATTATTATTGTTGTTATTATTATTTTGAGACAGAGTTTCACTCTTGTTGATCAGGCTGGAGTACATTGTCTCGATCTCAGCTCACCGCAACCTCCGCCTCCTGGGTTCAAGTGATTCTCCTGCCTCAGTCTCCCACGTAGCTGGGATTACAGGCATGCTCCATCACACCCGGCTAATTTTGTATTTTTAGTAGAGATGGGGTTTTCCATGTTGGTCAGGCTGGTCTTGAACTCCCGACCTCAGGTAATCCACCCGCCTTGGCCTCCCAAAGTGCTGGGATTACAGGCATGAGCCACCGCACCCGGCCGTTATTATTAACAATAACGACTGCCATCCCTTACAGGTACATAGCACTTTACAACCCACAGAGCACCTTCTCAGATTCTGTCCTATTGCAAGAACTCAGGATGGCAGGCAAGGGTTATTCTTCTAATTTTCCAAATGGAATGACTGAGTTCTTTCAAAGCTTGTTTTGTTCCTAAGATTCCTGTCCTTAATCCAAGTTGGCTGCTTCCAATACCTTGAATTTCAAGCTGACCGCTCACTTTGCCATGCCCAGCAATACTGATGCCCGCTCCAGTCAACACTCCCTCCCCAACCCCAACCGGCAGAGCAGAGGCCTGGCCCATTCTTGGAGACTCACGTGACAAAGATGGGGTAGATGAGGTTGGAGGCATTGAGGGTGGCGGTGGCTGTCTGCCAGGACCGAAGCAGTGGGTGGAAGTAGCCACTGTGCAGAATGGACTGGGGCTGCATGGCGTGGGCCAGTGGGCACAGGGCTCCTGGGGTGTTGGCTGCAGGCTGTGTCTGTGGGGGGTGATGGGTGCCACATGAGACATGGTCCCTGTCCTCAGGAGATGGTCACATTTGGAAGACAGCTCTTCCAGATTCCTGCCTCCCCTCTGTCTAGCCCAATGCTACTCACAGCATGGTTCACCAATCCCTGCTGGCCAAGAAGGTAAGTAGAGAAATGAAAGTAAGTCTTCAGAAACTTTCATGGGCCAGGTGCAGTGGCCCACACCTGTAATCCCAGCACTTTGGGAGGCTGAGGTGGCAGGATTGCTTGAGCCCAGGAGTTTGAGGCCAGCCTGGGCAACGTGGTAAGACCCTGTATCTACAAAAAGTTTAAAAATTAGCCAGTGTGGTGGTGCACACCTGTAGTCCAGCTACTCAGGAGGCTAAAGCAAAAGGATGGCATGAGCCTGGGAGCTCAAGGCTGCAGTGAGCTATGACTGCACCACTACACTCTAGCCTGGGCAACAGAGGGAGACTTGTCTCTAAAAAGTAATAATTTTATTTTATTTCATTTTATCAAAGAATCAATAGATTGGAAATACAAAGAAAAAAAAAAAAAACGAATCTTTTCCTATGCATAGTTTGAGAAACACTGATCTAGCCAACATTTAAACTTTGTTTATTCCATAAAAAATGCCCATGTTCATGGCAGAACTTTTAGAAAAGTACAGATAAGCAGAAAGAGAAAAATCCCCTGTGATTCTATCTTAGAGAAAAGTACTGTTGGCCGGGCATGGTGCTCATGCCCATAATCCCAGCACTTTGGGAGGCTAAGGTGGGCAGATCACTTGAGGTAAGGAATTAGAGACCAGTCTGGCCAACATGGTGAAACACCATCTCTACTGAAAATACAGAAGAAAATTAGCTGGGCGTGGGGATGCACACCTGTAATCCCAACTACTGGGGAGGCTGAGGCAGAAGAATCGTTTGCACCCAGGAGGTGGAGGTTGCAGTGAGCCAAGACTGTGTCACTACTGCACTCCAGCCTGGGCAGCAGAGCAAGACTTTGTCTCA